TGGTATCTAGATGGAGCTGTAAGGAGAGAGCATGCTCGGTTAATTTCATCAACAAGCTTCAACTAGCCAATATCAATGCATAAGGTGTCAATGCATTGTCCAGAATATACTGACATTGTGCAATGTGATCAATGTTTCTGGAAAAGAATTAAATCTCTTCCTAGAAATTCCATATATTAAGAACCTTGCGGAAAAAAATTGAAGAAAAATTGATTCCCGATTGGATGCAAATAGTTTTTTTTAGGGGGGAATTTGAAATCTCCTGGGGTGATCCCAATTATATTTACTTTTACATAATAAAATGTATCATATCCTCCATGTTTCATAGATTGTTTTCGTCTCTGTAAAGTTTAATGGTCTAAAATCTAATTCTTCTCCCCTCAGAGATGGACGAATCAAATTATTTGGAAAAAATGGCTCACAAGTGCTACTGGAATCTTCGGAGACAGTACCGAGCAAATTTTTGCTGGTAAATGACTTGTACATATTCCTGTACTTTTGTGTTGTGTTTACTTTAACATAGAGATTTATATTTTGTAGCATAGAATTTGGATTTGAAGCATGCTTACATAAGTTACTGGTTAATCCATGCTAATAGCTGATAACAAGTGATAGCTTCTGTTTACAGTTTATAGAGAACCAAGGTGTACTACTAAACATAAATGTCAACAACCACATTGAGGTAAGTCGTTTGATATTTATTTTGGTTCTGTAACTGTAAAATTTCTTCTATTCACATAGCTGTCTGACTAATATATTTCACATAACCGAATACGTTTTCAAACGACCCCCTGTTCTTGTATACTACATTTGTCATTTTTTCTATATGTAATATTATTGAAGTTCAGACAACTAATTTTCTTAAACATATTGTGTGTAGGTCTGGGATGTAGACAGGAAGTGTTTGTCTTATGTTCATAATTTTGAGAAGGAAATAACCTCTTTTGTGGCCATGCAACATGTTCCTTACCTGTACTGTTTCTGAAATTCGTACGTAAGCAATGATGTATTTTCATGTTGCTGCAAACTATTTATGCTGTACATGTATTGACAGGTATGCTGGAGATTATGCTGGCACTGTATCAGTGTTGAGATTAGATCAAGAGCAATTGTACATAGAACACATGAAATACCATATTCCTCTTTCAGCATCTCACGGTTAGAAGAAACTCTATTGTGTATACAAGCTGTTTG